GGCGCGCACCATGAGCGGCGGCGAAGTGGTCTGCTCGGGGTGGCTCCGCAAGTCCCCTCCGGAGAAAAAGTTAAAGCGTTATGTAAGTAGAGCTCGGGCCGCAGTCCGCGGGCCTCGGCGCCCACACCCTTCCCGAGCCCGCCGGCCGCGCGCGGGGCCGGGCTGCCACTCTCGCGTTCTTGCCCTCGGCCGGGTTCCCAACCGGCCCGGGCGTCCACTTGGCGGGGAGACTTTCTCCCTCCATATTCCCGACGGCCGGCCGGTGGCCTCGTCTCCCTCGGGAGGGCGCAGATGTGCAGCTTCGAGCTGGGTGCAAGACTTTGTTAATCCTTTTAAGCAGGGGTGGGTGCGGTGAAAGAGGAGCCTTGCTCTTTATATCTGCATCTAATTATGGTGGGCTAGTGGGTGCCAGATTTCCCGCACTGGGAAGACGGCGGAGATCGTTAGCGCTCACCAGGCTTCCCTTCGGTCCGCGCCCCCCCCCCAGTCCCTCCAGGTGGGTGGCGCGTAGCGAGCGGGTGGTGGACCCGAGAAATGCACAGTAAAGTCTAGCATCTCAAATGCGCGCACAAGGGAAATAAAGCAAAAGTTCTGACGCGCCCTGCAGTTTGCTTAGCAGGGTTCACATTTTCGCGGTTTTGAGTTGAGGACATTGGAATTTGGCCCGGGAGTCCTGGCGGTTTGGTGCGGGAGGAGGGCGCTTGGGGGCGGGTGTTTGGGCGCCTCGGACGCGCTGTCACGCCTTGCAGGAGGGGACAGCTGAAGGCAGCAGGGATTTTCTCTGTTTTGCTCTTCTTTTCCCAGGGCACCAGACTGGCTTAACTGGTATTTGTGTAATTGATACAAGCTACTGATTGTGTATAGCTGTTAGGAAAAAATATTCCTTGAAAGAACCAACTTGACCGTAGCGGGGATCAGTGTCTTCGGGAATCTGAGATCTTATTATTCTCCCTCGCTATCGCTGGTGCTTTTATCAGTGCCCTCTCGAAGGAAAGAAATGACGCTTCTGGTCTGGCACATGTTTTTTTTTTAGTGAAATGTGTTAGCAAGAGCACACTGCATACCCCCTTAAATGTGTTCATTACCTGTGCTAATGGAACCTGTTACTGGGCTCAAGTTAATCCCATTAGTCACTGTTTGCTCGCATAAAAGCGTGAAGTGCAATATTTAACTTCACTGACAACACACCAGTGAGTTTCTGGTGTACTTTCTGCCAGAATTTATTATGGACGAATCATTTCATTGAAGGAGTTGGTGCCACAAATCAAAAGCAAGCCCCCTTGAGAAGCGGCATCCTTCCAAATGCTATCTTTCTATCACAGTTTGCCGGAATATTCCCGTAAAGATATTAACTTTATTCCAAACATTCGAGAGTGGCAGTGTTCCTTTATTTCCAGCTTGTAGTTCTAAAGAGAAGGTTGTGTGGGTGAGACAGCAAGAGGGGAGAGGTTTTGTTTTGTTTTGTACTACTAGGAACTGACCCTAGGGTCTTTGCACTGAACTATATCCCCAACTATATCCCCTCCCCCTTTTCTTTTTCAGACAGGGTTTTTGCTAAATTGCCAGGACTGGAACTTGCGATTTTCCTGGCTCAACCTTGTAGAGTGCTGGGAATACCACACCCAGCTGTGATTGGGTATTTAGGGGAACTGAAGAGTAATACATTTGTTGAACTAGTGATAATGGAGATCGAATGCATCTTTCACATGGCTCATGGTACACAAAAGCTGCCGTACCCTGACTGGGGACTACCTGCAGGGTTAGGAAATACAGTAGGAAAAAGCCTTGCTTTGTGTGCTTGCAAGGAAAGGTGATATTAACCAGGAAGAAAATTTTCAAAAAACATTGTTGTAGAAAGGATCCCCCCAAACAAGAAAGTGTGAATGTGTGTTTGTTTGTGTGTACGTAATTTGATGCTCATAGCAGTTTTTTAGGGAGCATTATATGTTTTCGTAGCAGATAAAACAGACTAACAACTCAGATACACCAGAGGTGGGATTTGAACCCAGAGCTGCCTGCCTGACTGGGCTGTGAAAGGTTCATGAGTCTCATCTAGTTCATTTTAGGTGTGGAGCTCAGAGTAGCCATCTCGGAAGGTCCTTTCAGAAAATAACTTCCTGTGAGTCTGTGAGGTCTAGTTGAGGATTCGAAGAAGAGGTGTGACTCAGTTGCCCTATGTTCAAGAGATACATGATCCAGTCTTTGCCTTCAGGGGGCTTCTGGAGTCTTCATGATGAGATCAGAGTGTAAAAAAGTTGGTGCAAAGAGTTTATGACTATATCCAAGTTGAGTGGTAAGACTCTTCTATAGATGTTTTAAGGAACAAGCTCAGTGTATAGTGAAACCATAGAAATATTTAGAGAGATCCTTAAATTGTCATTTTAGCACAGAGAAGAGTATGCCTAAGAGCTGGGAGGAGGAGACTTGTTGCCGGTAGAGCACAGGCCCTGTGACAGTTAGTGGAGTGGATGAAGGTGGCCCAGGAAAGCAGTGGGCAAGTGGCAGGTGGGGAAGGTGAGAGGTCCAGGGGGGTGCCAGGGAGTATGAGGAGTTAAATGATGCTTACCTTAATTTTTTTTTTTCCCAGTACTGGGATTTGAACCCAGGGCCTTCACATGCAGCCACCTCTCCAGCCCCTTTTTGATTCAGGGTCCTGATAAATTGCTCAGGTTGGGCTCAGACTTGGCACCCTCTTGCCATTCGTGTGTCTTTCAGAGTGCCAGGCTTGCAGGCCCGTGCCACCCTGCTCCACTTACCTTAAATTTTATCAAGCTGGTTGACTGGAAAATTTTTGACTTTCTCAGATTACTGAACTTTTGAATGTTTTTGCTACAGTAGTGCTGACCATGGGGGACAGAGGCATATATTCATACATTTCCTGTGCTTATTTTCTTTCATGCAGAATTTTTTATTTTCTGCACGGAGGAAATATTGTAGGCTACCCAATAGGAAACATGATGCTTAATAACAATTTCTACTTTGAAAAATTTGGAAGGTGGGTATTGGGGGTTGAACATAAGAGTCTAGCACATGCTGGGCAAGTATTCTACTACTGGCCTCTGTCCCCCTACCTCGATCTTGGTTTCTAATGAGCAGATTCAATATGAAAACATTTTTTTTTTTGAGACACTCTTCTTATGCAGTTCAGGCTGGCCTTGAACTCACTGTGTGGCTCAGGCTGGCCCCAAGCTCGAGGCAGTCCTCCTGTCAGCCTCCTTAGTGCTGGGAGAAAAGATACCTTGAATACTTAGTACTGCAATTATTAAATAAAACTTCCAGGAGTTTGAGCATAATGATTTTACTGGGAAACACATTACCCCTGAGACTCTGACAGTTGTCTCCATGTGTGTAGACTAGTCCAGACACAGTTAAGATGATCGTTAAGGGCTTGCAAGTGACAAAAATTTGTTTATCTTTGAAACCATGTCAAATTATGGCTCACAGTGAATTCCACTTACAGCTGCATTTTGGGGGCCTTACTTCACAGTCAACGGAAGCAGCACTGTTTTCTTCACCCACAGGTGAAGTGTGAAGAAACTCGTATGGAAATCTTCCTTAAAGAGCGTGAAAGCGGTGTAAGATAAAATAAAATGTAAAACACTGAGTTCTGTATTGGCAAAAGGTTAAGAAGGGTAAAGGACTGTGTGTTACGTTTTGTTCTCTGTAAAGTTTCGAAGTCTACTTAAAGATGAAAATTATCTGTTTTTTTTTCCAGTTTTGCTACTATTTGTGTTGCTGTTTGAGTCCAGTTATATTAAACAGCTGCTTTTTACTTTGTCTAGGACCCAAGTGGAGTCATACACAGAACACTGTCACTAGGATTACAGAAGAGAAGTAAATTCTTGGTGGTATACACTCAACAGTGGTGCCCAGATTTTTAAAAATTCAAATAATTTCTTTAACTGACACAGTTGTACTTGTGTATGGCATATAGTGTGATAATTCAGTACATGTATGTAATGCATAATGATCAAATCAGAGCCGTTAGCATTTCCATCTCTTTAAACATTCTCTCTTTTTGTTGTTACCTGCAAATACTTCTCCTCTAGTTCTTTATAAAATACAAAATAAACTGTATACTTTGGATTTTGAAAAGTGACTTAAATCAATACTGGTGGAATTTCCATCAGCACTTAAAATTTTAGTAGGAACAAAGTGTAAGTCTGTAAACAAAGGATTGCTTCAAGCCAGCTGGCTGCCACCGCGGCTCTGCCGGAGGAGTGTCCCCACGGCTTGCCTCGAGCCCAGCCACCAAGCTGTCAGTGTGGGGCAGGTGTGCCGGCTCAGCAGGAGAACCTGCCTCTGAGGCCAAGCAAGGTGGCCTGGTAGCTGACAGCCAGCGTGGGAGCATGGCCCGAGCCAGCTCTCCGGTGGCTAATCTGTACCCAGCTTGGGCTCTGTCTGCTCCGCAGCTGTCAGTTAATAGGACGTTTCTTGTCTGGACTTCGAAAACACACTCTCTTGGTTCTGGAAATGGGCCTAGACACAGAAATAGCCTCTCCCACTGGGTGGCCACCTGACATCAGACATGGAACAGGGGAGGCGGGGCAGGTGGAATCTCAGCATCTGCCTGGTTCAAGGACAGCCCAGACCCCGTGCTGTCCTAGAAGTCCCTGGTGGAGGGTGTTATTGCAACAAAGAGGACTGTCATGTCTGGAAGGGCTTCTTCCCCACCCCTTGGCATTTCCCAGTAGCTGTCACCAGATTCCAAAGCTTTTGCTTACAGTGACTGATGGGGCACCATTATTTTGCTGAAGATGATTTTTTCTCTGTTCATGCTAGTAAACATTCATTCCAAATTCCTAATGTTTTCTTCTTACCTTTTCAAGTGTGGCGGGATCATTGTTTCCCCTAACAAAGATCTCCAACTAGCAATTACATTAAGTCTTTATAATAGTTTAATAATAGTTTATTCTTTTGTTGTGCTGGGCTTAATGATAAGTACAGAACTCTTCATATAAAACTTGCTGAATTTTTAGATCTGACTGCTGTCTTCTGGGAATTAAAGGTACCATTTGCAGAGTGTATTAGTTTGGAGGGTACTTTTAGAATTCTGCAGGTTTTTAAAATTGTCTTTTAAAA